TCCCTTATCACTTAAAGGGACTTCTAATCCAAATATAATTTGGATCAGCAGCTCCTAATAGGATTAGGAGCTGATCCCTTTAAATCTATAAATGGAGGAGGGGGCAGCAGCCTTTAGACATGCAACCTAAGACTCTTGTCTTCAGAGCTGAAATCACAGAAGAGAGATTTCTGCAACCTCTGCAAAATCTCTCTTGCCGCCTCCTTCCTTCCGCCGCTATTACCTTCAGTTCGATCTCCAATTCTTGGGAGAAATCAAGATCTGATCTTGAAACCAATCTTTTGGGAAAATATTGATTGTAGCTGTACTCACAAGCCATCCAGTTGATTCTTGCGAAGGGTCAAGTTCTTTTGAAAAACATTGTTGATTCTGCTCCATCCTGCATTGCGCCATCTTCAGTGGGAGCAGTCTTTGGATCCTTCTTTGGGTGTGAACACCTCCATTGGGAGATACTAATTCTCCGTAYYAGGTACATCCTCCCTCCTACTCCTTTTGGTTCAGATCTGGTTTGGTTCATGGTTCAAGATTGATCATTGAAAAATATGTTTTTCTAAAATAGGGAATTCGATTCCCTGCAAAGTTGGGAGAAATTTTTTGAAATTCGCCTAGTCCATTTTACAAGACTTGGGCATCCATGTGATGGATATCCCATCACTTTTCCATCAATCAGTCGAATTTTTTCCAAGTACCCAAATTTTAAAGGAGAAAAATTGGATTTTTAAATAAATTTCATCCACATTTGACATTATATTCAAATGGATCTTTTAGTTGTTTGCTGATCACCAACAAGGAGAGGCTTTTGTCCAATAACATTACCCAACAGGRGAGGCCTTAGTCCATTTTAAAAAGTAAAAGAAAGTTTTAGTATTTAGAAAAAACACAAAACAAGGTTTAATTTAAATCTTTAAACCTATTTATTATAATTATCATCATCATTATCACTAAAAAACCTATCATATGCAAAGCATGCACACTTACTAACACCCAAAAATTGCCAGGTGCCTCCAGCATTAGAAGTGGTCAATCACCGACGAAAGTGCTGATCAGTGGGGAAGGGAGTGTTGACCTCCATTCTATTGATAAATGTGTAGAGCTTGGCAAGGAAATTGAAAGGTTCCCTGGTGTTACTTTCCGAGTAGGTGAAGATACTGTTCCAGAGTGGCTTATTACGCCAGAGTTAAAAGGAATAAAACGCCCAGTTGATTCATACTTTTGTGCTGGAATTGTAGCCTTTCTTATTGGCCCTGGTTTCTTTGACTTTTCACTAAGTCATTTATCAAAAATTGGGATGTGCTTAAAATAAGTTCCCATCCAAATGATTCATACTTTTGCATTTATCCAAATATGTAGAGTGCAAAAGTAGAAATAGCAATGGGACTGGTTTGGGGCAGGAATCATACTTCTCATTTCCCGACCCCAAGTTTTAATTTTGTCCCAGTCCCTGACCCGGATCCCTGTTGGGAAAATAATTTAGCATCCACCCCCATTCCCTGATGAAGATGGGTTCTTCATCGAGGACCCAAATCTCGGAATTTTTAATTAAAAGCTTGTTTTTGGAAAAAACATTTATTTAAAATAAAGAAAAAAGTTCAAATGTAAATAATATTTTATATATATAATATAAATAATCAGGATCGGGATGGGGGGTGGGGTGGGGACTTCTTCACTGCCTGTCCTCGTTTTCATCAAGACAGTCTCCATCCCCATCCTCACCCGGTTGGGGAGGTCAAGTACCGTGTGGGGATGGGAAAAATTGCCATCCCTGTAGGAAATTATGTATTTTTACTCCACTTATTTGCACTAATCTTTCCAAACTGAGCCTTACTAATTTAATATTTTGGGTTGAATTTTCTAGTCGAGTCCGATGTTCCTGCCTTCCTGGTCATTGTTGGCGGCTTCAAGGAGCTTCACATTGTAATACGTAGTTTTCTAGCTTCCATCGGAGAACTTGACATTCAGTGGCTGGTTTTACAGAGAGAAAATCATCCCACGGCATGATGAGCTGAGTGGTCTTATTCGTAGATAGTTTAGCAAAATGATCTTCAACCGTAAAAAATAAAAGCAAATAAATGTTGATGAAGACATGTAATCGGTTTCTGAACAATCAACAAACAAAATAAAATAAAATTCCTGTTGCACATCTTGTCTTTGAATTGTCAACATGATTCAGTATTCCAAAAATATCTAGGACAATTTTTCACAAATAGTCTGGGCTGGCCCGGCCCGGCCCGGCCCAGCCCAGCCCATCATGGAAAGATGGAGTGGTTCACATCATCATGTGGCTGCAAATGTGCTTTATTGGTGCATAATAAGAGAAGGGAGAAAAAAAGTATATGTACTAATAGCTTGAATTATAACCAGCAACTAAGCTACTCTGAGAACAAAAAAAGCCCAATGGGACTCCTAACCCAATGGACATTGTTGCTCCACATCAATTCCCCAAACACAAAGCTGCCATTAGTATCCTTGTTGGGTTTGAAATCTACCACGAAAGACTTCTTCTTACCAGCTTTACTAAATTTAAGTTTATTAGGACGGATCACAACATTCACGCCTCTTGGCTGCTTCACAGAGGCAACATAAACTGTTGGACCTTCACCGTAGTAAGTGACTGTTCGATTAACGGAGATGCTTCCATTCATGAATGTTGCCACACCAATTGAGGGATAATTGAGATTGTAAGAGGGAATTGGTGGGTTTTTACAAAAAACTATCTTCCCTGTGAGTCCCAGCATTTCTGTAGCTGCATAGTTGAGACTACAAAGAAAATCAATAATATCATTGGAATCAAAATCGTAAACCAGCCCAGGATCCAATGCTGCAATTGGATTTACATGCCCAGATCCATAATCGAAAGGTGTCGACACAGATTCCTGTAGGCTACTGATTATGGGTTTTTGAGTATTGTCATGTAGTGTAGCTGCATGTATCAAAGCAAGAAAAAAAACTTGTTAAAAATGGTCAAGTAATTATCGTAATGGAATAGGACGATCATAATTGATATGTTTTAGGACTTGGTATCTCATTCCTCTTCTGTTCATATATATTTATACTATTAATTATATTATATTCAAAGTTGCTAATCAATTTTGTATTCCAGGGAATCAGAGTATGACTAAACTTCTGGTGTTGCAGATTTTGCTCCAAATTATAATGCACCCAACAGCAGAATTGAAACATTTGCAAAATTAAGACCTCGAAATTCTGCTGCCAGTATGTAGTATGAGACAATGGCTTATAATTGGGATTAAAAAGCTTTGGATATATAAGAAAAGGGGTTTAATTATTACCTGTTGTCATGATTGCAGATTGTATGGCTGCTGGACTCCACGAAGGGTGGACAGATTTGATGATAGCAGCAATGGCTGAGACATGTGGGCAGGCCATGGAGGTGCCTGAGATTATATTGTAATCAACAGATCGTCCAGCCGTTAGAGCAGTTGCTACGGGAGACAACGCTGCCAATATATTGACCCCTGGTGCTGCAATATCGGGCTGCAACATTACAAATTAAAATACTGCAGATATTATGATCCTGAGAAAAGAAAATTAAATGATATTGTAATTTTAAGAGAAGAATTTCCACCATTATTCCTTTTGGATTTGGTRTTATACAACATTATATAGACAAGGTGATCATTTTTCTTGGCCCAGCTCATTTTGAAAATTTTTTGGTCTATGCACAAGTTTTTCTTCTAAGCCCACACATAATGTAGGATAAGCCTGGGTTCTAGACCTGAACAACCTGGCCTTTCCCATAAATTAAATATAAAAATATAATAAATTTGATAAATAACCACCTGATCTGATTTATTATCAATTTTATGGTATCAGTTCATTGGTTACAACAAGTAATTTTGTTTCTTTTTAAAAATATAATTTCATCAATTTATGCAGGCAAGCCTGATGCCCAAGCCTAGACATATATTATGAAGTGTACAACAAGTTAGGTCTGGGCAGCGTAAGATGCCGTATTCTCACTTCTTTATAAATGTTTGAATTCCAATTCCAATTCCGATTAGATATTAAAAGTTAGGTCTGGGTGTAAATATATCGAATTTGAATCGGATCAAGTAATATTTGAATTCCAATTCTGATTAGAAAGTTTGATATCCGAATTTTATTTGATATCCGATGGATATTAAAAATTAATATTTGAATTTGAATCCGATTAAATATTCAAATATTCAATTTGATTAATTAATTATTTTAAGTAATTAATAAATATATAAAATAAATATTTTATTTATATAAATATATAAATATATAATTTAATTATTGTATATATATATATATATATATAAGATATTTAAATATTTTATATATTAATATAAGAATTAAATAATCAATCGAATTCGGATATTTATCGAATCGAATCAGGTCATATCCTAATTCAACCGACTAGATATTTGAATTATCCGAATTCAATTCGATTATGTCGAATCTCAAATTCAAAATCAGATTTTTGAATACCATTGACACCCATAAACCTTATCAAGGGAGCCCAAACTCGATAATATCCCTATTAATGAGTATCACGAAAGCATTGTAGCATAACCAGACCATAAAAGTGATACCCATAAACCACAATTAGGCTTGAGTGCATCTTTGTGATAGAAAATGCAGCGAACTTACTTTTATTATGCTAGGTGCAAGTAAATTTGGGCCCTTTGAAGAAAATGGAGCCACCACTGGTGCAGGTCTTGTTTTCAGAACCGTTCTTGTGGGAGAGATTTTGGCAATTGGTTTCCTGTTGGCAAAACAAGGATGCATGGCTTCATGGTACATAGGAATGACCATATAATAGTAGAGGTGATCATCACAAATMAAAAAACCGAACTAAACTGACGAAACCAAATCAAAATTTTTTATTAATCGAACCAGTTGGTTTTGATTAATGTATGCAGGGGCGGAGCCAAGGGGTGGCAAAGGAAGGTAGGTCATGGTCCCCTTTATGTTTTTAAAATTCCCACAATACCCTTTTAAATGTCACCTAATCTGCTCAATAGGGGTGTTTATAGTTTGGTTAATTCAACTGTAAGCTTATTTTCCAAATTGAATTGATACCACCGGCGTGAACCAAAACCGACCGATTAACCAGTTGTTCTGTTTAGTTTTTGACCAATTCGTTCATTGGTTTTCAGTCTTTTGATATTTAAATATATGTTTATATATAATGCATATTTATAAACATATATAAACTGAACTGGTAAAATATGTTTATAAACATATATTTAAATATCAAAAGACCGAAAAACTGATGAACTGAACTGGTAAAAAACTGAACCAATTGACCGATTAATCAATTGGCTTTGGTTCACGATTTTCTAAAAACTGATGGTATCAGTTCAATTTGAAAAATATGCCTACGATTCAATTAACTAAACTATGAGTATCGTTATTGAGCAGTTTAGGTTGGGTAGGGTTAAATTCTCAAACTTAATTCTAATCCAAACTGTTGCCATTAGGTTTGATTGGAAGTGAGTTGAGTTCAGACTGGGTATGGATTGGCCCTAATGGTGATCATGGATCAGATTGATTTGGGAGATTGTTAAATTTTCAATGGGCCTAAATAATACTTCAAATGGACAATCCAACTTGCAGCTTTAGTTGGACCATACACATGGGCAGCGTCTAGTCACAAGAAACTAGGCTCAAGCCTGGAAATTTCTGGGCTGGGCCAGGCCGGGGTGGAAATGATAACCCCCTAGGTGACCCCATTTCTGGGCTGGAAATTTCTGTACGGTGGGCGTTAGATTTTTGAGGTAAACTGAACTATAAAAATCCCTTATTTCTTTTTTTTCCTTAAAATGAAAAGAATCGGTATTTGAGCCTGGTTGAGCACTTGCAAGTCAAGTGAAGCTAATGAGAGAATCGGTATTTGAAGTCTTGAAGAATGAGTTTTGAGCTCATACCAAAGTAAAATTGATTTCTAGGGCCAATAATTATTTGAAGGCGAAGCTGAGATATTAGGCTACTTACCTATCCGTAGCCAGATATGATTGAAGTAATTGTGATTGTTTAACATTAATTTGAATGCTTGGGATTTCGAACTGTCTGAGTATTTCCTTGGGAAATGAATCGACGAGTATCATCCCGACACCACCGCCCCGTCGTATGGTTTCCCCTGATATATCTGTTCTTGTACTATTACGCACGCACACCACTATCTTTCCCTTAATCAACGTGTGGTCAAGACTCTCCTCCTCACAGAAGCTGCAGGAAACATACATCATCTACATAAAATCAGAAAGTGGGAAGCAACAGGACCAATTCTATGCATCGATCCATAACAAATTGAACATCAATTAACTAATAATAATTTATACCTAGCATTGGTAGAAGGAACACCGGGAGCAGCTGCATCACTCGCGTTTATCACACCATAAAACCCATCCATCTTAAATGGGTTTAACGAGTAACTCTGATTCATCATTAATTTCATTTAAAATTAAAAAAAAAATGACCGGTATTGTTCTCATTAATTAATTTATCATCTAGATTTAATTAATACGTATATATACCTTGAGAATTTTTGAGTTACCAAGATGAACATCGGAGATGAATTCTCGATCCACAGAGCTCGCAGCGACAGTGAGAATCCAAGGCGCGGCATTTCCCACTGTTCCAGGGAAGAAAAAATTTCCAGCTGCGGCTGAGACCAAAATTCCTTTCCTGAATGCATGGAAAGCTCCAATGGAGTTGGCATCATCAAAGTAGCTAACGAAAGGTATCCCGCCAAGTGAGATAGAGATTATATCAACGCCATCATTGATGGAATCATCAAAGGCTGAAAGGACGTCAGCGTCGGAACATAGCCCCAAGGTCCCCCAGCAAACTTTGTAGACGGCAAGCCTAGCGCTAGGCGCACCTCCCCTCGCAACACCTCCGGCAATTCCATACAAGCTGGCATTTCTCACCATGGATCCAGCCACTATGGATGCGGTGTGGGTGCCACCCGAGCTGACCGGAAGAAAGTAGAATTTAAAGATTCAAGAGGCCCATATTCTGCCTCAAGTCCTTTCAAGTAATACCGAGCACCTACAACTTTACTGCAAAAATATAATCCAAAAAACCCAATACTCAAGATCGAGGGGATTCCATGCTTATAATTAAGTTTGATGGGGTTTAATCATAGAACTAACTAGAATTTGCAGCAAAAAAGCAAATTAACAGAAAGAGAAGGCAAGACTGCAAGATGGTACATTTTGATCAGTCTTCAACACTGTAACTTAAACAAGTATTCACACATACTACCTGTTACAGTTTGCCAATGTAAAATGATCACCAGTGACACATTTTCCCATAAATCTCTTGGGAACAGGCCCTAAGCCTCTATCATTGAAGCTCTCTGATTCAGGCCAAATTCCTACCAAATAAATCCAAAAAAAAAAAAACAAATGAGCACTCCTATAGAGAGAGACCATCAACAGCAGTCAAAAGGTCTGATGATGATGGTGATAGTAAAAAGAAACAATTAAGCACATATAAATAATATATTTACATAAAGAACCTTTAGTTTACCAGTGTCAATGACACCAATGATAATATCCGACTTCACGTCAATGGGCAATTGGTTGTATTGGTAAATAGAATCGACTCCCAAGAATTCCCAAGAATGCGTGGTCTGAAGATGATATGTCCGGCTCTCGAAAATGGAAACAACTGATTCAATCTCTGCAGCATCGGTATTTGACTATTGGTTATGGGGGTGGGTCTTAGTATGTAATTAAGCCTTTTCCCAAATAAACTCAAGTCAATCTTACCAGAAAGTTTCTTTAATTGTTCTGGCGTGAGCATGGCAGAAAAACCCCTGAAGCTCTTGGTATAATGGTGAATTACTGCCTGTTGTGCTCCGTCAATACTTGAAAAGCAAAATGGAAATTATATAAACATTAGGTATTCTAAATTTATTGATTACAGTTGCAGCAAATTAAATAATCGTAGCAACCCAACAATGGCAAAAAAGAAATTGGGCGCATAGTTGTAGATGATACGATGGGACAACTGGGGAGGGGGGAATTCACATCTTACCTGCCAATCACTGAAGAAAGCATCTCGTGGTTGGCTCTAATCACAGAATCTGAATCCGGGTACGAGTGCTCTCCCATGTATACTATGTAGTGCTGCATCCATGTTTTAATGACTAAGTACATCCATCTTCATTTCCTTAACTAATTACTATATTAATCTCTCTCTCTCTGTCAATTATATAAAAATATATACCATGCTAGAAGCCTAGAAGTATTACCTTATTAGTGGTGGTACTGGATCCATGCGAGAAAGAAAATGCAAAGAAGGTGAGAAGGGTGAGAATAATTGTAAATCTCATGATTCCGATGAAACTGGAATTAGCAAACAAAAAGAAAAACGAGGGAATTAAGAAAGCTGGGTAGATGATAATCCAAACGAAGTACTCAAAGTTTCTAAGGTTTCCATTGATCAACAAAACGCCTATTGTAGCTTACCCAAGCTTGTTCATCCGTTGCCACTCAATCATAATTCATAACAAAACCTACTGAAATTTATACTTGTAGCTATTACTATTATGATAGACTACAAATTGAACCAAGTCTCTGTCTGTAGACTACAAGTCAAGTCAACGAGTCATTTGAATAAGACAAGGGGGGTGAACTTTCCTAGCATCTGTAACTTGGAAAGTGGTTTTGAAGGAAGAAAATGGTGGTCTAAGAAAAAGTTGACGTGACCCATCCGTCCGACGATGAAACAGACCCCAAATACAAATAAGCTGCACCAACCGAGGTCTGGCTCCTTTGCCTCGTTTTTGAGTTCAAATCATTCCCGCCGTGTATCATCATCATCATAATTTCGGGTATTATACGGCGGGGATGTGCTGTAAAACGTTGTGGGGGTACAATCTTGAGGGAGTTGATTTGATCTCCTCGTTTTTTGTGTTCACCAACCAGTATTTTACACTCAGTTTGGAAGGAATATAAATTTGTAATTTGTAGATTACGAAAACTTATATTTTGTATTATTTTATATACATTTATACTATATATATATATATATATATATATATATATTTGTAATCTTTCCGAACAGAGCCTGAAATAAATAAAGGCGTCAGAAGAAAATTATAAAAAATACAAATAAACCACAAACCGACCCTACTTGTGATTGTTCTTCACTCCTGATTGGATTCTGTGGGCCATTGTACACGTTCTGTTTATAGCAGATCACAGATCAATGAAATGATATTTTTCCAATAATAAATACAAAATGGGAAAATTGAAACCCCGTTACTTCACCGTGTTGACCGGGGTGAGTGGTTAACTTTTTGATAGCAATTTGATGCGGCAAAAAACACCCTCCACTTTTTATGCAAAACCACTTTACGACAAGCTTGATAGTGCGTAATCCGATCGGTCCTATCTGCCGGTTACCGCGTTTCTGACGAGATTGGAGGTGCATGAAACAAGGAAGAAAATGGAGATTTACAGGGAGGAACCCGGTTAGAACACTCTAAAGTTCAAGTTAGTGCTCTTTAGAAGGCAAGGGAAATGAGGAATTCTAACACCAAAAAGCGCAAGAATCACATACCCTCTTCTTTGTGAGATGGGGGCCTTTTATATTCATCTTGTACACTTACTTCCATGCCTCTGCCAATTCGGGCATCATTACCTCTGCCAGATCAGGTCACCTCCTCTGCCAAGTCGGGTGTCATTTCCTCTGCACCAGTTCGGGTGTCATAACCTCCACTGCCAGCTGCCAGGGCCGCCTCTGCCCGTCTGAGATGGCGGTGGCAGGTGGGTGTCATAAC